AGAGATGAGCCGCGTCTGGCGCCGGTCCGTTTTTTTTTTTTCCCTCTCGCGCCCGCCCCCCCCCCCCCCCCCCCCACGCCCCCGCCCCCGCCCCCCGCAAGCCGCCCCATTAACCCATCAGCCGCCAATTAGTCCCCACACGCCCCGCACCACCTACAGCGGCTACCTGGCTACAAGGGGCTACCTGATCCTGCGGCAGACATACGCTACCTGTAACTCAGATTTATATACGCGCTTCCTCCCATTCCTTCTCCCTCTCCTCCCCCTCCTCCCCCTCCTCCTTCGTGTCTCCCTCCCTCAACTTTCTCTCTCTCCCTCTCTCTCTCTCTCTCTCCCTTTCTCTTTCTCTTTCTCTTTCCTCTTTCCTCTCTCTCTCTCTCTCTCTCTCTCTCCTCCTCTCTCTCTCTCTCTCTCTCTCTCTCTCTCCCCTCTCTCTCTCTCTTCTTATCCAACCTTCCTCTTCATCTCATCCCTTTCCTCCCCTTCTCCCCAACCTGCCCCCTCCTTCCCTATCCCTCCCTCTCCTCTTCCCCTTCCTCCATCAACGTGAGGAAGGGGATGCTTTTCACATTCCCCTCCTGTACCCCAACCCCATGCCTTCTCCCTCCCTCCTTCCCCTCCCTTTTTCTCTCCCTCTCTCCCTCCCTTTTCCTTGTGCTACCTCTCCCTCCCCTTCCCTCCCCCTCTTCCTCCCTTCACTTCTTTCCCTTTCCCTCCCCCCTCCCTTTTCCCCCCCAACCCTCTCTCTCCTTCACCCTTTTCCCTGCGTCCGCCTCTCCTCCTCCCTTTCCCTCCCTCCCCTCCCCCTCTTGCCCCCCCGTTCCCTTCTCCTTCCCCCGCCCCGCCCCTCCTCCTCCTCCTCCTCCCCCCCCACCCCCCTCCTCCCTCCCATTTCCCAACACTCACTTGCGCATTCTGGCCACGCCTCCCATGCCTCGTCCCGGTAAGTGGTTATTATCTTTCTTCCTCCTCTCCCTCCTCCTACCCCCCCCCATACCCTCTTCACTCTCCCCCATCCCCTCCCTTCCCTCTCTTACCCGGTCGCCCTCTCCCCCTCCCCCGCACGCCCTCTCCTCCCTCCCTCTCCCCGGTACGCCTTCTCCTCCTCTCCCCCTCTCCCCCCCTCCCCTCCCCCTCTCACCCGCTCGCCCTCCCCCCCCCCCCCTCTTTCGGCTACTGGGCTTGATTGACCACCTGGGAACACACCTTCTGCGACGCCCGCCGACCCAATCACAGATGATGCCGGCCACACACGCCTGCCTGCCCCGGTCCTCTCCGCTCTTCTCCGCTCTCCTCACCTGTCTTCTTCTCTCTTCCTCTCTGGTTCTCATTTTCTCACCTGCCTTCTCTTTCTTTCGGTAATCTTCACTTCTCCTTTCCCTCCACTTTCCCCCATTCCTTTCTCCTTTCCTCTCCTCTGCTCTCCTCCTCTACTCTCTCCTCTCTCCCCTTCCTTTCTCCTCTCCTCTCCTCTCCTCTCTCCTCTCTTCCCCTTCCCCTCTCCTCTCTTCTCTTCTCCTCTCCCCTCTTGTCTCCTCTTCCCCTTCCCCTCTCCCCTCCTCTCCTCTCCTCTCCTCTCCCCTCTTCTCCTCTCCTCTCCCCTCTTCCCCTCTCCCCTCTTCTCCTCTCCTCTCGTCTCTTCTTCCATCTTCTCTTTCTCCTCTTCTCTCCTCTTCCCCTCTCCCCTCTTCCCCTCGCCGCCGAACCCACCTGGAGAACTACCCAGACCTCATTTGCAGTATAGATCTATAACAACATAAAATACATCTATACTTCATACGCTGACTGGACGATTTTTCCCCCCTTTCTATTTTTGTTCTCGTTTTCTTTTTCCTTTTTTATTTGGGGGGGAAGGGGGGGAGAGGAGGGTATTATGTGTACTACGCTAATTTTGACAATTAAGTCATTTGCATGCACGGGAAGTGACTTCCTCGTGGGGAAAATATTATATATGATATATGATATGGAGAAAAGAGAGTTGCCAAGATTGGGATAGAGATGAAAGAGGAGAGAGGGGAGGGAGGGTGGGAGGGAGGGAGGGAGGGAGGGAGGGAGGAAAGGAGGGAGGGAAGAAGGAGGGAAAGAAGGAAGGAAGAGATGAGAGAGAGAGAGAGGAGAGAGAGAGACGAGAGAGAGAGTGAGAGAGAGAGAGAGAGGACAGAGAGAGAGAGAGAGAGAGAGAGAGAGGAGAGAGAGAGGAGAGAGGAGAGGGAGAGAGAGAGATAGAGAGAGAGAAGGAGAGAGAGGAGAGAGATGAGAGAGAGAGAGAGAGAGAAAGGTAAGAGAAGAGAAGAAAAGAGAAGAGAGAAGAAGAGTAGAGAAGAGAGAAGAAGAGTAGAAAAGGGAAAAGAAGAGAAGAGAAAAGAAAAGTGAAAAGAAAACAAAACAAAACAAAGGAAAAAGAAAAAGAAAAAGAAGAGAAGATCAGAGGCGAGAAGACAAGCGAAGAGAACAGAAGACTGGAAGGACAGATCCTATAAATATAACGTCTGGCAGCCGCGTTCGTACGTGTGAGGGTATTTGCTCCTCCGCGTCAGGAAGTTATCGTACGGCAAATCCTTGAGTCACGTTCCGCTACTAACGATACAAACCTCAGCACTCATTTCTCATTCTCCTGCCCCTACCCCCCCCCTCCTCTCCTCTCCTCCTCTCCCTTTTCCTTGTCTCGGTCTCTGTCTCTGTCTGTCTGTCTCTAAAATTTTAATCTTTCCTTCCTTTTCCATTCACACACTCACCAACTCACTCACTCCCTCCCTCTCTACCTTCCTTTCCCTCCATTCCTTTCTTTCCTTCCCTCCCTTTCTTTCCCCCCCTCCCTCCATTCCTTTCTTTCCTTCCCTCCCTTCCTTTCACTCCCTCCCTCCCTCCCTTCCTTCCTTTCCCTCCCTCCCTCCCTGACTCACTCCCTCCCTTCCTTTCCCTCCTTCCCTCCCTCCCTTTCCCTCCCTAACTCCCTTCCTTCTGCCTCCTTCCCTCCCTCCCTCCCTTCCTTCCTTTCCCTCCCTCCCTCTCTCCCTCCCTCCCTCCTCCGTTCGCCTCTTCTCCCTCCCTCCCCTTTTCCTCCTTCCCTCCCTCCCTCCCTCTCTCCCCCTCTCTCCTTTCCTTTCCTTCCCACCCTCCCTCCCTGTCCCCCCTTCCCCCCTTCCTTTCCCTCCCTTTCCCTCCCTTTCCTCCCCCTCCCTCCCTTTCCCTCCCTCCCCCCGCTCGCCTTTTCTCCCGCGGGCCGGCCGGGTCACGCATCTCACACATCCCACGGACACGAACATGCTCTTAATCGCCAACGCAACAAAAGGAAGGAAACATACAAAAAAAAAGAGCTAATGAAAAAGAAGAAAAAAAAAAAGGAGAGTGAAGAAGCTCTGGGGAAAAAAAAAGATAGAGAGGGAGGGAGAAAAAAAAAGAAGAAAGAGAGGGAGAGAGAGAGAGAAAAAAAAAATAACACACGTACGATTCGTCGACTACACACGCGAGTGCGTACGTACACACAAGGCGTACACGAAAAGGGGAGGGGGGAGTGGGGTTGAGTAGGAGAGGTATGTGGGTAAGAGTTGAAGGAGGAGGAGGAGGAGGAGGAAAAGGAGGAGGAAAAGGAGGAGGAGGAGGAGGAAAAGCAGGAGGCAAAGGAGGAAGAGGAGGAAGAGGAGGGAAGAGGAGGAAGAGGAGGAGGAGGAGGAAAAGGAGGAGGAGGAGGAGGAGGAGGAGGAGGAGGAGGAGGAGGAGGGCGAAGGGGGAGGAAAAGGAGGAGGAGGAGGAGGAGGAGAAACCGGGGGAGGAAGAAGAGGAAGAAGAGGAGGGGGAGGAGGAGGAATAGGGAGGAGGAGGAGGAGGAGGAGGAAGAGAGGTTAAGAGAAGGGGGGGAAGGGGGGGGGTAGAGGGAGAAGCTTGGAGGAAATAGGGGATGGAGAGGGGGGAGAGGGAGGAATTGGGGGGGGAGGGATCAGTATGTAAATAAAGGTAAGAAACACGAGCTTCCAATGGGAGTTTGTTCTACTTTTTTTCATTCCGCGAGGTGGAAAGGGGGGTGAGGGCGGAGGATGGAAGGGCAGTCTTGCGCATCACGATGTTCTTTTGGGAAAGACGAAGAGAAAATGTCGAGTTTGGATTCATTTCGCCTTTGGTTGGTTTACATACACAGGTATACATTAACATACAGGTGCGTATAAATATAAATATGCAAATGATATCACACACATACATATTTACATGCATGCATATATACATGCAGACATATATATTCTCAAACAAACAAACAAACAAACAAACAAACAAACAAACAAACAAACAAACAAACAAACAAACAAACAAACAAACAAACAAACAAACAAACAAACAAACAAACAAACAAACAAACAAACAAACAAACAAACAAACAAACAAACAAACAAACAAACAAACAAACAAACAAACAAACAAACAAACAAACAAACAAACAAACAAACAAACAAACAAACAAACAAACAAACAAACAAACAAACAAACAAACAAACAAACAAACAAACAAACAAACAAACAAACAAACAAACAAACAAACAAACAAACAAACAAACAAACAAACAAACAAACAAACAAACAAACAAACAAACAAACAAACAAACAAACAAACAAACAAACAAACAAACAAACAAACAAACAAACAAACAAACAAACAAACAAACAAACAAACAAACAAACAAACAAACAAACAAACAAACAAACAAACAAACAAACAAACAAACAAACAAACAAACAAACAAACAAACAAACAAACAAACAAACAAACAAACAAACAAACAAACAAACAAACAAACAAACAAACAAACAAACAAACAAACAAACAAACAAACAAACAAACAAACAAACAAACAAACAAACAAACAAACAAACAAACAAACAAACAAACAAACAAACAAACAAACAAACAAACAAACAAACAAACAAACAAACAAACAAACAAACAAACAAACAAACAAACAAACAAACAAACAAACAAACAAACAAACAAACAAACAAACAAACAAACA